GGCAGAAAAGCTCATGGCAGTGTCCATCCCTAGCTATGAATTATATAAAGTACCTAGGAATTTATGCTCCTTACTTCAGCATCTTAATTCGGTGTTTAATATGAAGCTGAATTGGGCCTTAGAGTCTCTTTCTGAACTAGGTGATGTGGACCAAGCCTGACCCTGCAAAAAAACCCAAAAATGAAAGAAACCACACAGGACAGCTCTCATAACCAGACTGAGTGCCAAAACTGCAAAGGCCAAAGATGAGGTGAGCCTGGACAGACTTTTTTTCCTACTGCTGATGCTCTGGCACTATTCACTCAAAAAAACACAAACCACAAAACCAGAAAGAGGGGGGAATAAAGCAGCTTTTATTGACTAATGCATCCAGACAGAACAGGTTCTTGACTTTGTTCACAGAACTGTTGCTGGAGCTCATTCAGTGACTGCAAACACAAAGGTATGGAGCAGAACAGGACCCAGAACCCCAAAGTCCCCTTGCTCAGGATGTAAAAAGTCATCTTTCCTCTTAACCTGGCTGTCCACTGCCAGCAGCATTCCTCTTTCCTCCAGCTGTATTTCAAAGCCAAATGGTGAACACTGCTATGCGCTGGGGGGGAGATACTGGCTGCTGACTTTAGGAGTAGCGTCTGAAAGTATGGAAGGACTTCCCTTGAGTAACTCAGTGTTCTCTACTCCAAAATCCTGTTTTGCATAAACAGTGCTGATCTATCCTCTTTCTATTCGTTTAATCACACATTAAGTATCAAGATTCACATAGAGGATTCAGGATTACATTCTGGCCAAGGTTGCCAGAAGCTACATACTGCAACCTCATCTGCTGATACTAGGAGTTCTTACTAGATCCAAAGCAGTTCTTGCAGACAAATAGTTATAACATATGAACCAACAACCACATTTCATCACATAAATTTTGTATAAATTAAAGCACATTCTAAAACCAAATTGAAGAGAATTGGCGTAAACATGCTTTACATGGTTTGTAGAATGAGGAAACAGATTATTTTACTATTAAGCAAAATCCTTGGTGTCAGTGGTGACAGCAGACCTCTGAAGGACTACTCATTCCAGTGACTGCTCAGCAGAGGGAATGATTAACAACTTAAAAAAAAAGCTGTTTTAGTAGAAGCCAAAAAAACCCCAAAATAGAAAGGAACTAAGTTTCAGGACTATACAACTAGTTTTAGTGCAAAATATTATTATGTAGTGATTCTTAATATAACTTTTCTCCTGTAAATATTGATGGTTATGATTGTTAAACATCAAAACAGCAGGTGAAAATAAAGGCAGATAATGTATCGAAAGCTTTTCAGAGTCCTAACATTACAGTCAAAAATAGGACTTCAAAGACTTTAAAGTTAACAGCCAGTCTCACTTCAGGGAAGAATACATTAAAGACTTGTCATAATCCAGGCAAATTGATTGCACTATTTTTATTGCTGAAAAACAGTTAAGTAATCTTCAAGTGACAACAGTCTTGTTGTAAGTATACGTAACTACTCCTAGGAGAAGATCAGAATGCAAGCCCCCACTTTCTGTTGTGCAGAAAACTATAAGCAACTCTTGATTCAGAGGATTATCTCAGGAGATTAAATCTTTATACTTTAAAAAATGTGTCTGGTTAAGTCCTCACAGGCTTTAAACATCACCAAGTTGCTGAATGAGTTGCTGAAGCAATAAGATGATCCAGTAACTCAGCAGCTATCTGAATGCAAGTAGGCAGATTGAGAAACCTGGCAAGCATAGGGAGTACTCTGCATGCATCTTAAAGAACCAAATTCTGACATAATTTCTGTATATTAATGAATTAAACTTGGTGTAGCATGCTTTACCACAAAAAAAGTTTTATTTACTTATACTTTATCAATAGTACAAGCGTATGAGAGTACAAGACTACAAATAACAAAATTGCCTAGTTTACAGCAATGGTAACAAAAATTACAAAGCCTGTAATGAAGGTACTGCAAGGCACTTGTGCAACAAAATGCAAGAAAAACTTGATGAACAGCAAAATTTCATAAGCTAAACAGCACAGTGGTTTTAAAGTTTATACTGTATTTATTTACAAAGTTAAACGTTTCATAAACACACAGACATAAATAGACAGATCCTCTTAAAACAGTAAAAAAATGTTCCATTACACTTTGTGGATCCTGGTTTCCAATGAACCCAAGCAATGTTAAATATTGCTGTAGTAGATTTTATACTTCACTGCTAATTTTACACTAAACAAACACTGCAAAAGGGAAAATAGACCTCTATGACACAAGAAGAAAAAAAGTAATTCCTGTCTTTTCCATAACGCCTACATTTCCCGAAACCCATCCACCTGATCCTTCAACTGTACACATTTAATTTTACTCTCATGAGTAAATCTCATAGATTTTAACAGAAAAGAGTTCACACTAGGAAAAGCAAACAAGGATACACATATATTCTGCCCTTTAACACAGTAATTACTTCAGTAAACACATTAATACTCCTATAGAGGTTTTGCTTACGCAAGATAAAAAAGTTACTGAACAAAAAAGTGCATATTAAACATTTCAACTAATATACAAAAACTTTATTCAAATGGTAAGTTTACACAGACTTCCATTAATAAGAACATTAGCTTGTTGTAGTTCAATGAGATTGAATTCTGCTGCATGTTCTGTGTTCCAACTGCTTCAAGCACAGTAACCTACCAGTCCTCAGGAGGCAGAATCCTGCCTCATTTAAAGTTGATGGGAATTTTGCCATCAGTTTCAGAGTGGAAGAAAGTTTTGGAATCAGCTTCCTTCCCCTCTCCCCCTTTGCAAAAAAAATAAGTCAGACTAGAGAGAAATCCTCTCCATTATGAAGAAATTTGACCAAAAAAAACCAAAAAGAAAATAAGTATACAGGATTCCTTCTCAAATCTCTTACAACAATTAGATTCCAGCAGAAGCCAAGAATTTTATCATCTTTCTCTTCTATATTGACCCCTCAACTCCACTGTTTGGTTACACATAATGAAATTCATGGATATGATTTTCTTTAAGACTGGCAAAGTACATACCAGAGCAGTTAAATACACAGAACAATGTATCACATGCAGTAGGATTAACCGTGCTCAGTTTAGATCACTGAGTAGTAGGCTGTGCATACTCTCCTTTTTGGAGAGAGTTGCCTTTGTCTGGGCATTTCTTTCCTTGACCTGTACCAAGCCATCATTTTGCTCCTCTTCATTTCATTCCATAAAGAATCTCAACTAGGGATAAGTGCCTTTCAAGTGTGAAAATTGCTGGACTCCAGAAGGGCTCCACGTTTCATACTTGGGAAGTAACAAAAGCACGAGGGGAATGCTATCTAATCCTAACTGTTCAGGTACAAGACATGTTGCCAGATGACCCAAATGACTGGATCTCTCCTAAAGTTGTATTTTTGTGTTGGCAGACAGAATTTCCCTTGAAGGCTAAAAACAACACATATACCAGTAGGAAAAAAACATTTGATTTATGAGAAGCAAAACTGCATTATGTTATGCCAGCCACAGCAAGGAGCTTAGGTAACTTGATTCACTACTGACTTCGGGTATCTAAAATGAAGATAACATTATTGTGGTTGCTGTGCTATTTAATTGTTTTCATAGTCAGAGAACTTCCAGTTTGTTACCAACGTAATTCTGAAATAAGAGCAAAACCGTAAATTAGCCGCTTGCAAAATCTTGCAGACCGTGACAGAAGCACTCTGAATATTTCACTGATGTCTCTTTCTGGACACATATATCGTTAATGTAAGATGGTGTTAAGGAACCTCCACAGAACCGCTGTGGAGGAAACAAGCTCCATGTAGCCCTGCCACTGCATTTTCTTGCATTAAAACTTTCCTGTGATTAATACAGAGCCCATAAAGTCTACGTGACTCTCTGTATTTTGAGCAGAATAACTTACATGCCTTGCAGAGGTACCTTGCCTTGGATGCTAATGTTTGGCTTTTGTGCTCTTCTCCTACAAATCTTTCTACTGATATGTTAGCTTTACGGATTTACCCTGTTTACGGGCTCTACCAACCCAAACACAAGGGTATCAGAACCCAAAGACAGATGAAAATTCCAGTACTTGGGGGAAACAGAAAAAGAAACTGAAAAATGGAACCTGTGCTCTTTTTCACCACTGAGGACCAACCCATACACTGGGCCATAAACAGCAAGAGTACACTCTAGCAGAAACAGTAAGCCAAAAATCTGGATAATCAGAAGAATCATTATTCACACCACTAATTCTGGGGAAGTAGTAATAGTTTATGTGAATATTTTGGATACTATAGGAAGCATTAAAAAATCTGCAAAGACTAGGGCAGTGAAATACCTGTGCTTGAACGGGTTCAAGCTCTACTTTTGCTAATGGTGGAACTCCTACAGTTCAGTGGTAGGTGGCAATGAGTTTAGGACTTGTCCATTAATTTCAACATATGCTAAACGAAAGTTTAGTGCTTTCATTTTAAGATGATCAGATTTAAATATAATTCAGAACTATACAATGCTCATTGAGTTCAAGAGGCTTATCATAAAAATTCATGTGGAAAAGTCTAAGTTAAAAATAATTTACTATAAAAAACCTCAACTTAAAAACCTACTGTATCCAGAATTTTCCCTCAAATATTGTGACTTTCATCTTTCAGTTGGCACACAGCTGACATTGCTGTACCAATTCAACATGCAAGAAATAAGCAGAAAGAGAGCAAGGGAAAAAAACCCAAACAAATCTGCAATGCTGTCAGCAAACCACCACCACAGAGTAAATGAGCGAGACATCCTAATTTCTCAGTTTTAGCTTACAGCACCGTTATGAATACAGGTAACAGTAGTTAATCAAATATAACAAAGAAATTTCACCATTGCAATACTATTGATTTTTTTTTTGTCCATAGGCACGAGCCAAATTCTACCACTTATCCAGTGTGAATTTTGAAGAAAGTGCACATGCCCTTTCCCATCATTGCATTTCTAGACTTAAACAAAAAAAGACCCTTACCAGGAATAATCATGAATAGGAGCCTGGGTAGATTTTTATTGTCATCTTTTGAGAGGTCTTTCCAGGGCCCACACTTTAAGACATGTGTAGCAGCTCCACAACAGTAGATAAATTCTTCATGTAATGGGACTGGCTCTTCTGACACCGACCTCATGTTTGCTGTTAGACAGAATAAGATACTGTTATAGCAGATCAGCAAATGTTTACAAAGCTGCCTCTTTGCTACCATACCTTCCCATAGAATAATTGCAAAAGACCCCAAACAGCCCAGTATTTGCTGTCTGAATAGGTCATAGAGGTTGATACGTGTTACTACAATACAAGAGAAAGTATCTTTTGTTTTTTGTCACAGAAATGTATGGTAATGAATTGGACAATAAGATCTATCCTACCTTAAAGGCAAATAATTTTAAATTTCATATTAAAACTGTCCACTGAAACGATTCAGTTGAAACATATCTTGAAGGCAAACAAATGAAAAAATACCAAACAAACAGCACTACTGCATTAATGTCTTCGCAAGTTCTGTGTGCCTCAACTATGGGAGCACAGTATCACTTAAAAACAACCACAAAAAAAAAAAGAAAAAAAAAAGAAAAAAACAACCCAGCAAAAAACAACCAGAATAAAACCCAAAAGAAAATACCAGAGGCCAAAAGGAGCATGCTAATTACTAGATTGCTTTCCAGCACTAGGTGGGCTCCTCATTCTACGTGCAGCATGACTTACTTTTCTAGAAAATTTAGAAGGATTAAAGGAGGAGTCTTTGTCAGGTAAAGCTAACCAAGATTTGATCAAGTCAGGCAAATATTTATGCTCACCTTTATAACTTTTCTTAAATTTTTTGGTTATCTGAGTGCAGCAATGGGAAATAAAACAGTATGCTGCCAAGTAAACAAGGCATGCTCATCAGTTCACGTATTTACCATATATGATATAATTACATCCTAATAGGCTATCAGTTTGGAACTGGCTAACCGACCAAACTGCCGTAAGAGCTCTCCTTCAGTAAAAAGGACACTTTATCAAGGGACTACTTATGAATTTAAATGGGATCAAGATGAACCACAACATACACAAGTATCTGCCAGAATAACCATTCACAACTACAGGTGCAGTTACCAAACGCAGAGTCAGGAGCCTGCCCTTGCTGGAGTACAGTCACACACGTACACCACCTGGAACACAGGTAAGCGCTCGGTAAGTCCACCAAGCTGTTTATAACAACTTCAAGGGCTATAATATAAGCTCTACAAAATATTTCCAGTCTTATAGGAACCACATTTCACTCTTCTGAAGCAACAGATCTGGTTTAAGCAGAGTTGAACAACTTGGTTAAATTTTTACAGGAATGACTACACATTCTATATCCAATACATGACCATCTGTAATGGAAAAGGCTGCCCAGCTTAACAGTCTCTAACTTAATTAAATTGCAATTCAAGTCACAAGGGGAAAAAAAAAAGATAAGTCTAATGACTAATCTAAAAGAGTAGACTTTAGTGTCTCTACCTAGTACACCCTAAAAGTTGAAATATGTTATACAAAGAAAAAAGCACAATGAGATATTAAATAAAAAAATCCCAAGACTATAAGCCATCAATTCTCAAAAGCAACTCTCAAAGACTTCACATGCAGCCACTGCAGGAAATCTTTTCGGTAAGCCTCATCTTGAAATTAACAGACAAAAGATCAACCACCTTTAATGTTATTTCAGAAGATAATCTTTGCCAAGTTCAAAAGCCAGTATTTCATGTATAACTTCTATAGCAGCAATCGGTCAGCTCGTGAAAGTAGGATAAATAATTCAAATATAAATGAGAATAAGATGCAACAAAGATGCAAATAAGATGCAACAAAATATAACATTATGATAAAACTGGGTATTGTTCCATCCCACCCTGATCTTTATAACATCAAAAGCATCTAGTTAAGGATAGCATTTCAAATATTTTTGCTTAGTGGAAAAGGACCATTCATTTTTGAGTACAAGGATACAAATTCTGTTTCCTAATCACTTTGTGAAGCTTTAAGTGTGTAAACTGAAGCCTAAGATTCACAAAGTTTGCAGGACCATGAGGTGGGGGAGCACTACCTTCACAAAGAGTCACGGGAAAATTCTCAGCGCTACACAAATTGAAAGGAACAGATCTGAATGAACCTGGCACATGACGTTAAAACAACAGGCAACTCAGAAGAGACAGATAATGCTCTATTTTGAACTATCTTGGAAAACATCTAATACAATGCAAACAGATAATGCTTCTGGAGGAAAGGGAGAAGTGTTTAATACTTTCAATTACAGCACAATTCTCCAGATGAAGCTTTTCCCCCCTGCCTCCTCTTTAGCTTACAGTGACTGGAACATAAGCAATTGAAGCAAAAATTGTCAAGCTATAATAAGGTATATTTTGCAATGCATTATTCCCGCTTTTATTTCTTCATTATTCAAAGCTGGAAGAAGTAAAGAGGAGCTCTGACAGAGAAACCCAGTTACATCAACAAGCAAAGTAAACATTTAGCTTGTCATCCCTTTTCCGAGGTGTTTACAATCCAAGAAGGAAAAGTTACGAGTCCTTACCCAAGAAAGTAGGTTTTATACAAAGTTTCTGATCATGAACCAAAAAAAAAAGTTGTAAAGTTTCATCTGAATTGATTTCACTGAACAATACCAAATGGAAATCCCACTCTTCATTCACAAGTAGCATTTGCAACATAAGGTCATAAATTAAGCAATGAACAAAGGAAGCTCAGCAGCACAGTTCGGACAGGAGTTTTAGGCTTTTCAGGTTCACACAGACTCTTGTAGCAGCTTTGCTCCAGTTTTTAACTTAACTTCTAATTTCTGATAAGCACAACGTTGCAGTACCTGAAAGCATGACTACACACTAGAGAAGAAAAGGTTTTCTGAAAAACTGCTCATCTGAGACAATCCCAAAAGGTCTCCTAGTACTAACTCTATGTAATGTCTGAGGGATTTTTATCCATTTATTGTTAGGTTTTTAATTTTTAACTTCATGGCTTTTAGTAATAGAAATGGACTGAAGGGAGTGGCCATACTCCTAGGATACTACTCAGACCTGTTTTAAGATTAAATCAGTAGTATCCAAAAGGTATACCTCTGGATCTCCTTTCCTCTTCATAAATGAAGCTTTGAAGAACAGTATTTCCATTACAGGCATCTACCTTTGGCATGAATTGCCTGTGTTTCCCCTAGAAATTCCTTATAATGGCCTGTCAACTTCCAAACACATTTAGTGGGCAGAGATCTCCAGAGGTGAGACTGCTACTCACTCAGCCAGCTGGCGGAGAGGGCACACTTTGCACCACTGCTGTACGAAAGCTAAGGAGAAGAAACAACCACAAACTTGACCAGTGGGAGTTTCATATCAGTCATCACAGAGGAAAGTAACAGAACAAGAGAAAGACATGCAACTATGTAGGAAATCAGGTTTCACTATGTCCCATGAGATATTTTCTTCCTTCTCTTCAAACCCTGTCCATAAACTCTCTAAACATAGGTGGAAAAATATTACAAGAAAGGCAGCTTCTGTCAACAGTACTTAATCTAGTAGCAAAACTTCTGCTAGAATACACAAACATAGGCTTTGACTTACAGGACAGGGCTTCAGCACTCGATTAACACACCCTTAATGTGTCTACCTGAAAGCAGGTAGATCCAAAGATCTACCTGAAAGCAGAGGACCAAAGATCTAGGCAACAGCAGGTGGACTGATAAGTGAATAACCATGGGACCAGCCACTAAGTTTTACCTCAGAATGAGACAAATCATCTGCTAGCTAGCAAAGCCTGTAATGGGACCCTAGACATTCATTTGCACTTACAAATCAACCCATATATTTAGGTGTCCTACTACTGATCTGGACTCCACCTACTGTCGCTGTTTCAGATAAGAATATTTGGAAACAGAGCTATCCGCAAGGATCAGATTACTTCTGCCATATGACTAAGTCCTTTCATATCATCATTGGCTCAGCTGACTCCAAAGTAAAATGCTGACAGTAAAGCTAAGTTTCCTCCACACACATTGTGCTTAATTATTTATGCAATTATCCCGGTAGCACATTAACTGCTCCATCCTACACTATTACTTGGAGTTGACATTTTATTTGAAAGATAACATAGGAAAAACAAAATTTGTGATCTGCATCCAAAATAGTGTTTAATGAAAAAATTGTTACAAACTCAGTCAGAATGTAAACAGAGTAATTCAACTGAGATTTGACCTACAAACTATCCAATCACAAAACAGGATGAACAGGTTGGTGTACCTGATGTAAAGAATGATGCTGAAGGGAGAGATGCAATGGTAACCACAAGGATAATGATAAGTTGCACAGAACAGTGGTGCAACCAAAGTAAAGGAGAAAGGACCACTGAAGCAGATTTGACACATGAGATTCCACAAAGCCACAAGAAATACATCCCAGGGTGCGCACGGACAGGGTTACTGCGAGTCCACTCTGTCGTTTTTGATATGTCATGATGACTGGGGGAAGTGCCTGAAAACTGCAAAGAGGCAATGATCACACACATGTTCACAATGGAGCTTGCTGGGAGCTACAGGCCAGTCAGCCTAGTCTCAATTCTCAGCCATCAGAGCAAATCCTGTCCAAAGTTGTACCCAAGCATATGAAAGCAACAGGGAGCACACCCTGCATGGGTTTGGTGAGGGCACATTGTGTCTGCATAACCTCACTGCCTTCTGTCATGAGATTAATGGCTCAGTGGATGATGGGAGAACACTAGATGATTAGCTTAACTTGAGCAAGGCTTTCTACACTGTCTCCCATAGTATTCTTATAGCTAAGCTGGTGACATATGGACTAAGTGGACTATAAGGTACTCTTGGGGAAGAAAGAAGGAGAAAAAAAAAAGAAAAAAACACAAACAAAAAATCCAAAACACAACACAAAAAAAATTCCATTAACTTACCAGCAATGTCGTTCAAGGATGAATATTGAGCCAATAGTGTTCAACGTCTTCATTAAATACCCGGACAACAGGGCAGTATGCACTTTCAGCAGGTTTGTGCATAACACCAGATTGAGAGGGGGAGGAAGACACACCAACTGACACTGGAGTGCAGGGCTGCTATCCAAATGTGCCTTGACAGGCTGGAAAAACAGAAACTACATGAAATCCAAAGGCAAATAGAAAGTTTGCCTAGAGTTCAGTAAGCCAAGGCAGCAACACAGGCTGAGGGCTTGAAGGCTAGGAAGTGGCTTTGCAAAAAAGACACTAGTGAAAATGAGTCTGTAGTGTGCCCTTGCAACCATGACATCCACATGTATACAAGGCTGCATTACCAGAAGTATCCAGCACATAGAGGGACGTGATTACCTTCCTCTGTTTGGCACTGGGGGCACTGCATCTGGAGTACTGTGCCCAGTTTTGGACTCCTCAGTACAAGCAAGACATCAACATACTGGAGAGAGTCAGTTAGATGACAAGGATGCTGAAGCAAGTCATGTATGTTCAAAGGACAAGGACCAGCAGCCAAAAGGTGCAATGAAGGAAATTCCAATGACAAACAGGTTTCCCCACATGTACAAGGAGGATTATTAAATGACGGAATATGCTGCCCAGAGAAGCTGTGGAATCTCCAACTCTGGTGATATTCAATGCTTGAGTGGACAATGCTTTCAGCAACCTGCCCTACTTTGCTCTTTTTGAGAAAGGGGCTGGACTACAGCTTAGGGATAACCTACAGAAGTTGGATGTATGTAAATTCATGAGACTGGACTAGCTACACCTGAAAGTGTCAAAAGAATTGGTTGATGCAATAGTAAGGCTGCTGTTTATCAAAGTATCAGAGTAAATCAGGGGAGCTCCTGATGGCTAGAGGGGAAAAAGATGGCCAGGAAAAAAAATATCTAAAATCATAGCCATTTTCAATCAAGAAAGGTAAGGAGGAGGCACTATAGGCTGATCTGGCTCAGTTGAGTCTCGGGGAAAAAAAAAAATATCTACAGGAGCATGTATTCTTCTAATCACATAAAGGAAAAGTCATTAATCCAGAACAGGAAACCAATTTCCCAATGTAAATCATGCTCAAGCAATGTGATTGCCTTCAGTGATAAAATACCTGGTTACAAGTGCAAAAGAAAAGATGTAGATGTAATGCATATTGCCTTATTGAGACTTTTGGTACTGTCTCCCACTGCATTCTCCTTTCCAGGCTAAGGAAACACAGGCTGAATAACCTGACTCACATAGTTTGAAAACTAACTGGACAAGCTTAAAAGATAGTTAAGTACTGGCCGTTAGCTGACTGTCAAACAAGTCAAGTAATCTTGGGTCAATACTGGAGCCTACAAAGCTCAACACTTTCATCACAAACCTGGACGATGAGACAAAAAATGGAAATGATGCTAAATCACCATGCTTCAGAAGCAGCTCCGAAGTAATTGTCTGAGAAGCAGCCCTGCTGAAAAAGACACGTTTCTCATGATGGATGCCAAACTCTATGAAAGACATCAATGCACTCTTCACACAGTAAGGCAAACTATGTATCAGCCTGAAACTCGAGAAGCATGGCCAGCAGTTTGAGGGAAGTTACTCTTCCCTTCTATTCAGCAGTAGGGAGGACATATCTGCAGTATTGAGCCCAGTTGTGTCCACCCTACCAGGTCAAGAAGGATGTAGGAGTAAAGTGGACAGCTACCCAGAGGGTGAGCAGCCTAGGGCACATGACCTCTAAGGAAAAGCTTTAGGAACTGTGCTTCTTTAATCTGCCAAGACGACAAGTTGTAATCAAATAGCAACCTAGAACTATTTAAAAGAGACGTGCAGACAGCATAGCCAAACGTTTCTTTGCAACAGTAGATGGTAAAACAAGAGGCAATAGCCACAAGCTGTGTCTTGAAAGTTTAAGACATTCCAAAAAAAAAAAAAAATTATTTAGTGGAAGGCAATGGAAGACTTCTAGGGAGGCAGTGAAACCTCATTTGATGGTGGTTTTCAAGACTCAGCTGGACAAAACAATAATTTTGGTCTAAACAGAATGATGAACTAAATTTTCTCCAGAGTTTTCTATAAATCAACAGTTTACAACTCTTATGGCCCTAAAACACCAGAAGAAGATAAAGGGTGAGGTGCAACAAGGGCCTCAGCCAATTTTTCTAGTACCTTAGGAAAGGCAGAGGACTTCATGAATACAGTAGATGGCAGTAACTAAGTTTGTAGGTCAGAAAAAAGGAATCTGAATTAGATCAGCCCCCCAAAAACATAGGAAAGTGAAGTCGATGTATTCCATCGATTAGCTGTACCAGCTTGAATAAAAAAGAAACACTGCCCTAACTGGTGAGCTTATGTGAGTGGATTCAGTATCACAATGCAAAAGAATAACTGGAAAAATACAAAGTGAGATTCTTTCAGCTGCCTCCTATGCTAAGGCTGTAACAACTTCTGCAACGTTATCCCCGTAAGAGAAACATCCAGACCTGACTCAAGCTCCTTGACTCGCAGGCTGGAACTAACACGCTCACAGCTCAGAACTAGAAGCAGAAGGGACAGACTGTCCGACCTGGTAGAAAACCTGCAAAGATGAACAAGGGGAGGACAGGAGAACACAGGATGCCTAGATCTCATCAATTATTTCTTTGGACAAACTACAGACAAATAGAGGATGCCAGATTTTCTACAGAAAAACAGCAAACGTAGGCCAAAGCTGTTGTGACATCAGTCACAAATCTGACCAGTTCTTTGTAAGAAAAGCAGCAGCAGCTGCCAGCAGCACATAAAACTGAAACATTTCTTCATTGTACTTCACGGTACAATGTGAAATTCTCTGTCAAAGTTATATGATGGCAAAGACCTGCTAGTCTCTTTCACACTACTTCTGAATTAGTAAATAAAAATTTGTACTTGTTATTTGTAAAAATGAGCAAAACCAAAAATTTACCACTATGGACACCTCAAGTGAAGTAATGTAGTTACATGAAATAACCCAATAAAACCCAAACTTCTACACCGAAGGCAGTTCGAAGCAGCAGGCTGTTTTTGTCTAAAAGAAGTGAAGTAACTAGGCAGCCTTATTTTCAAGGATCACTCAACGACCTAGCAATCTGATGCCCCCAACTTGTTTTGTTCTTGTGTTACTCCCCCCATGCTCCTCCCTCAAGCAGTAAAATTTCTCTCAGCCAGGAGAATTTCTCTGATGACTGTGCATAAATACCTGTGCAATGCGTGGAAATGGGGTACAGCTCACTTATGCTTAGAGCTGTAAAGATAAAAAGCTGAAGTGCAGAATTAAAATTAGAATCAGTTTTCATTTCTGAACCTTATACACAGACATCGTACAGGGGACAGTGCATAGACCTAAGAAAGAAGAAATTTACTTTTAAGAACTGGATCTACAGTATCACAAAATTCGGATTTCGATACTGCTCATAACCTTGTAGCAATCACCAAGAAAGTGTACACTGTCCTGATGGAAGGGAAGCAGGGAAAATAACTTCTCATTATCAATTTTGTACTGGACAAATCATCCCTTGTCAGTGCCAAACATCATAAAATGCGTTATTAAAACAGCTTTTCAGCAAAGCAGCGTAGGACTCACAAACCAAAAGTGTTAGCTTGGAAAGGCCCACATTTTGTGGATTCAAATCATGAATAGATAGATCCCCCAGCAACTTTGTTCCAACAAGGTGCTTTGGTATGAACAATTTTGAAAGACTTTTAGAGGTAAGGAATCAAGAAATCAGAAAACACCTTCAGATCCCACAATGATACATGTCTACATTGGTCTCCTACAAAATTATTCTATAAAAAGGGTGGTCAAAACCCTGTGGAAATGGCTCAGAAAGGCCTACCATAACTTTTAACCAAAACTGAGAGTTTTGGCTTTAAAAAGTTCAGCATGCACTTATGACTTTAAAAAAAAAAAAGAGCTCTTGTTAATTGTCGTAATAAATTGTCATAATAGAACTATTACAGCAGTCTTGGTCTTGACTTCCACACTACTCTCAGGAGCATGAAACAGCAACTGAAAGACTTCCAAGGGAATCAGGCACAACAGCAACCTTTATGAAAGCAGTCACAAGTTTGAAAGCATCAACTGTGGGGCTACAGTACTCAACACAGCCAGCAAGTGGATCCGCCCTTTCACTGCAATCCTGGCAACGAGACACTAAGTTTTATGTCTGGTCTCTTTTTCTCCTTTGGCAATCACAGACCTCAGTTTCTGTTTGTGCTGATGGTCCTTTCATAAAGGCCTCAAAACCCCGTTATGCTTGCCCAGTGCTGAAGTAGCAGAGCCCATGTCTCTTCTTACCAGGTAGATCAAATGGTCCTCCATTTGCCATCGCAACTTCACCACTCAGTTAGAAACACATAGCACTGAAGTCACAACAAGCATAAGCAAATCCTGAGAAGTTACCCTGGAATGGCTGAGGGTCCCCTCAGGCTTCATACAATACCAGAAACTATTAAATGTACCCCCCCCCTCCCCCCCCCAAAAAGAAAAAAAGACTTTACATTCCAAAAGTGGGATATGTTTTACCAAACACATTTCAGTACCAATGGAAGAGGTCCTACACATCATACCCTGTCAATCTATTTGATCATATTCAGATGGCAACTTTCACTTTTTCAAAAAAGCTAAAGCATCACAAACTTTGTGAAGTGTTCAAAGCTACCGACATGAAAACGACCCCAAAAGAGTACAAGTTTGTTTTGTTTTGTTTTTTCTTAAGGTAACTTCACAGGCATGATTAAGGTGGGGAATCCCACAGACTACAGGAAAGTGGTAGCTATACTCCTGGCAACTCCCCCATTTCCCAGTTAATATGCAACCCTGATGATAAAGCTAATAATGTTGATAACCTAAAAAGAAATGAGGAATAAATTTGTTGCTTAAAGAAACAAGCACATTCAAAGAAGTAATGATGGTTTAATTTGCATGGAAATAAATAGAACGATTTAATTCGGTGTAATACGGGTTATTTTCCAAACAGAAAATGGGATTTTGGGAAACTTTAGATCCAAAGGAAGAAAAAGCTGTTCATTTGCAGACAGTATTGAAATCTACTGGACAAGTGAAGACACCTTCAAACACAGCTTTCCCCTCAAATACTGCATTAAAGTATTGGACCCAGAAGAAAATCTTGGGGAGTTTAAAACTTAAATCTCATGGAGGAATAAACAGAAGGTGGTGGGCATGAAAAATAGGTGGGTGTAGTAAATAAATATATGTTCTGAGATCAGACTGCAATGTTAGCAAAACCTCAGTCAAGTAAAGACAGAATTTCTGTATGAGAGAATATGAAAAGCTGCTGCTGAAATACAATGTCTTCATGGTAAAGAAGGTTTCCAGGGACAAAAGTATGCCAGGTCTCTTCTGACCAGCAAATTTCACAGAAACAGCAGACTCATGTCAAGAGAATGTTGTAAATTAACTTTCCCAGCTGCCTGCAAGTAAACTAATCAAAAAGCAAAAATGCTACATTAGAAAATCAAACGGAAATAAATCACAGTTTGGAATGCACAGCATGAGAAAATTGTCACAAAAGCAGAATGCAACATATACAATTTGTTTGAGTGTTTATTTCAATGTGAATTATGCATCAGTATTTTGGGAGCCACCAGGCAAAACTGAAATGTAACACCATGATTACAGACTAAGTTAAAACCTTGATGAAATTAGAGGTAGGAATGTTATACTTAATGAACAAGAAACCATCACGTTTACATTTGGATAGAGAGAAATGAAACATTAGTTACTTTCAAACTTCAGTACATATCCCCACCCAGAACAGAGCAAGTTCAAAATTGAACAGGTATGTGATTTATGCGGGAGAAGGGCTGACATGGCCCTTCACAGGGTACTGCTTCAATAGTAAAGTCAAAGAATATTTGTCTCTGTAACCATATATTCTATACTCTTATATTTTTCTCCTACATCGAAAAACCTTCAAGCCCCACATTTCTGTTGAGCAGCTGTTTAAGCCGTACAGGTAATCAGGAGAACATTCAACAAAACACAGAAATGTGACAATGTGAACAAACTGTAACCTATATGTGTATTGAAACAACAGCATTAAGCATCTGAAGAAACTCCCCTCTTTCAGCAGCAGCAATGACAGGCAAAAGCAGTAGAAAGCAATTGCTATTTCATCTGATGTCAAGTAACTCCTTTTCTACCACCTATTAGAATAAAATTCACTACTCAATGGAGAGCAGTATTCTTTCTTTGTTCTTTTTAAGCAAGGCAAAACTCAAAGAGCATAATGAATACTAGCAAGAAGCAGGTATCAAAGAAAAAAAAAAAAAAACCACATACATTGATCCAATTAGCATCTGACTGTTCTTGATTTGGCTTCCCCCATCCTTTGGTGTACTGCTCAGCATGGGTCTCCCTATGGAACTATCCCTTATTTCTGTATGTTTCTTCTATATTTCCATGTTAGTTTTTCTCCCTTAGCCTAACTTATGCTCTGAATTCAAACCACATTTTTCCTTTTCTTCCCATTTTATTATTTCAACTTGCATGTGTTCTTACATCAAGCGTTTTTCTCACCTTTAACTTAGCTCTCTAGCTACTGACAGTTTTCTTTCTTTCTAACAAGGACATAAAAGAATTAGCCAAAATACTGTCTGCTTGGAGTGGACCAACTTACTAGTCACAATAGCATTCACCAATGATCTCTTAACCTGTGTTTGCTGCTTACCACATCCTTCTCACATTTACTGCAGCAGCTGTACATTCTGGTATTAATTTACTAACCTAAACAAGGCCAGGAAGGCACTGCCTGCAGAGACATGAAAACAAATATGTACGCAGCTCTGTGCAAAGGACAAGGGAAATCAAACAGGAGAATCAATGAACGGCAGCATAAGTAAGAGACTACAAAGAATAACACCAGATAGCATTAGATCCCATTCTCAGTCACCAGAGTAATATGATTATCTATACTACCAACATGAGTATGAAGTTCAAGTCCTTCCCAGTAAGAAGCAATGGTGATGTTCATCTTCCTGATAATCAGGTGGATGGAACAGGGAGTTGAACAGTCAGACTGGAGGAAATGGTCCAGTAGCCAAAAAAGTTTCTCCCAGAACCAGTGCTGCAGGAGGGCCTGTGCACACCCGTGCTCTGACATGCAGACCTACGGTTCTAGTAACAAGAGGATCCAAGTCAATCCACCATGCTGGAAACACTCCTAGCTTGTTCCTCAAAATGAGAGCAACCCTTCAATTACCACTATTTTGCACAGGGACCCAGCTCCACCCATCAAAATAATCCCACCAAACTCTGAGGATACGTGACTACATACAAATAGGTAAATAAACAAAACCTGCCTTCATCATAGGTGCAAATAATAATCCAGTTATCATGCGATACTCATTTTCTTTCCAATTAACATTACAATTTCTTTTGAGAGGTAAAATTTGGGGTGGTTGGATTTCCACAAAAAGTTTGTATCAGTAAAGATTTGGGTTTTGTTTTTTTGGGTTTTTCTTTGTTTGTTTTTTTTTTGTTTTTTTTTTTTTTTTTAATGAGAAATTTTATTAAAGAACGTGCCTAAACAAAGGATAACAGGACTGTTTTTTTTTTTTTTTTTAAATGAGAAATTTTATTAAAGAATGTGCCTAAACAAAGGATAACAGGACCAGGATCTAAACAGAAGCAGGACATACTTGGAGTTGTAGCATCTCTAGTTAGAGATTGTTCTGGCACTTCAGGATCACCTAACATATAATAAGAAGGCACTTACCACACAATGCACAGCTGCATTAGGTGGTTGCGCAACATCAGCTAGGCAGATAACCACTTCTCTCATTCATTTCACTGGTCGACTATGTGCTCAGGTTAGTGCTTCGGTGTGAAAACTTGAATTTGTTTCAAGCTTAAGACTCTGTTAAGTTCAGACCTTTCATATTACACATTTATTTCTGACTATGCATATTCCTTCATCGGACTGACTTACTTCCCCCAGTGTAACCTTTTTACAGATGTTACTGGATATCTAAATGTTATCATTCAAAGTGTAAGCTGGGATCAACTTTAGTCAAACACTTCATTGAAAATTCACAGTATTACACAGTGGTTTGTCAAGAGCGGAAAAAACACAGTTATGCACTATTAAGCACTATTAAGTGCTTGCTCAATTAAAATAAGCAAAAATTACCTGTCCTTCATACCTTGCATACATGTTGTCTGTACAAATCCATCCACAACATCACTAATGCTGAAACCTTGAAATTCTGCTCCTAATACTTGATAAATATAACCTAGACATTATCCAAAATGGGGACTACCCCTCTTTCCAGACAAGCTGCCCTCATTATAATAAATCACAATAATGGAAAAAAATGTAATTTAAAATAAATCAAAGCCATCAATCAAAAAAGCACAGCAAGAACACCGCCATTAGGAAGATTTAGAGTAAATCTTGTCAAATTTACTGGCAAGCTCTTTGGCTTGGCAGTCATACTGGAAATTTTGTTTAGCATTACCCATACACAGTTTATTGTAATTGAATCACGTGAAGTACCTGAACAGGTAATAAAGCATTAGTGTCTTCTGTAATTTAAGAAGATGGAAATACCAAGTGTAAATAGCAAAAAGCAGGTTCAAAACCAACGGAGGTGCCTCATGATTTAGAGGGTATTTGACCCATAGAACTACTTGAGGCTGGATGGTTTGAACACTAGACCACCACATGGGTTCAAGGCAAGGACGAGTTGATGGAGAAGAAACCCACTGTAGAAATACACCAGAACTTTGGTACATCTGTTCCAGAATGCTCCTGGGCTACACTTTGTTGCAGGCTGAGCAGATATTTACAGAGTGGGACTCGATAAAGAGGAATTG